TCCCTCAGCCAACAGTCTCTCACAGTCTCTTTCCCAGCAGTGCTGGTCCCTCGGTGTCTCACTCAGCAATGTGTGTCTCTTGCATCTCTTTCCCAGCAACACATGTCTCAGGAGCGCATGTCTCTTTCAGCAGCACATCTTCCTCAATCAGCAGTCAAAGAGAGTTCTGCCTCTAGGAGGCCTCCTTTTGAGCTTGGCAGAGTGGCCAAACTAGCCAATCATAGCATCAGAACTCTAAAGCACCTGAGAGAGAACCTGCCATAACATTGCGTTGTGCCATGCCCAACAGAAATAACCCAGGTGGATAACATTTACAATCAGGAGCTCCTCAGTTGCTCATAGCAAATCCCAGCTTGGAGTTTACAAAGACTTATGGGTAGAAAAGCCACACTAAGTAATTTACTAAACCACAGTAAGAAACTGGATATTTATGTAAGCATTTAATTGTGTAATTCCCTCTTTTATAAAATAATATTATCTTCAGTTGTGTTTCATGAAATTCCCTAAGTTCATTAATAACTTTCTGAATTTCTCTTGTTGTAGGATTTGTCATACAGAAGCAACTAAGGATAACTGTACCTTGGTTTCTGTCTCTTGGAGAGCTTGTTTTCTATTTTACAGTCTAAAAGACAATCTTCTAAACTGTAATTTAAGAAACATATTATAGAAGCAGTTACCATTTAATGAGTACCCATTATATTCCAGACAATATGCTAGGTCCTCATTTAATTTAATAAAACATTCGTGCAAAAGTAGGTCATAATAATATCACTTTATACACGTAAAAAGCTATACTTTAGAGGGATTAAATAACCTACCCTTAATCACACATAGTTAGTTAGTGAAGACCATTATGATGGTTGGAGCTGTGTGTCAACTTGGCTGGGCCATGATTCTGTGTGGTTTAAACTGTTGTGATGTGGTTATTCCCATGATGGGATCATATGATTATGTTTGAGCAGGCAATCTGTTGAAAGGGAGTTTCCCTAGGGGTGTGGCCTGCTTCCAGTATATCCAAGGACATCCTGGGAAAAGAGACATTCTTCTGTGGATCAGGATTCTGTTGTGTGCCTACAACTGTCCGTGAGTGAACAATCCACCATTTGGCCTGGAGATCTTGGATTCGTCATTCATTGGAGTCAATTGCTGGTGTATTGCCTGCCAGCCTTGAGCTCCACAGCCCCTGTGGTTACAAGAGTCAGAAAAGCCTCCAGCTTGATGTGGAAAAGCCTCCAGCTTGACGTTTGATCCAGGAACTTTGGACTTGCCAGCCAGCTTCTGTAAGTGTGTGAGCCATTTTCCTAAGAAATCTCTCTCTCTCTCTCTCTCTCTCTCTATATATATATATAAGCTTTACTGGTTTTGTTTCTCTCAGAGAACCCAGTCTAACACATTTGGTACCAAGAGTGGGGTTAGAGGAGGCGGGAAATGTGGCCTCCTTGCTGTTTTTGCAGTTGGTGTCAGAAGCAGTGGGATTCCTTGCAGTGGCTCCAGACTGATAGAAGCATGAGACTTTGTAAAAGAAAGAAAGAAGGGGTTTTGGAAGTGAAACTTTGGATTCTGAGATGGTTACTTTGTTTGGTGTTATCTCTTAAAGGAGATAATTGATCCATAGGCTAGGGCTTTTGGTTACACCCAGCCAAAGGCCCAAGGCCATATGCATAGAATGGGAAGGTAATCAAGGTGAAGAAATGAACCTGGAATGTCTTTAAAAGGATTATGTGTTTTGGATTATGTGTTTATCTGAATGTACTATGGCTATTGAATGTTCTCCTACCTGCTTGTACATTAGAAATGATTATGGGGTATGTGGATAACAGAGAGTTGTAAGTCCTCCTTCAGCCAATATTTGATTGGACAAGTTCAAAGGGAAACAGAATTTTCCCAGAAGAAACACAGGCTTTTGTTACAAACCCTGTGTGTAGAGTACTAGGAGTTTAGGTAGAAAACCTGAGCCCCACCCAGTACTACTGAGGGAACAGAAGATTTGCATTTGAATAAGGACCTGAAGAGGAAAAAATAATGACTGTTTGGCTCTTTGAATTTTGAGCAAGCAGACTGGTTTTGGATGCAGGAAAGTCATGGTTCACGAGAGAAACCCCTTCCAGGACTGAAAGTTAAAGGAAGCCAGTGAATAGTAAACTTGTATGTTAACTCGCTTATGACCACCTGGGTCCACTTGAGTGGAAATGGGGGAAGTGCAGCAAAGAAGAAATGGGCTGATTTTGGTACTCTTTAACCTAGGCCATGGAGGCTCAGGATGAGAGGAAGGGCTCGCTGGTCTGAAGTGCAATGAGTTGTGAGCCTATGGGCATTGAAATAGTCCCTGAGGACTGAAGATGTGAGAGAAGGTACTGGCTGGTCTGAGGCGAAGGGAGGAGTGTGACTCCCAAACTTGGCAGCTGGTACCCGTGACCTAGCTGGGATGACTAGGGCTGAGCTGACCAGAACCCGACCAAATGAACAGGAAGATGTTTGACACTGAGTTGGTGTTAAGTTGCTGTAATTTGATGGCTTGTGCTGGTCTGGACTTTGCTTGTTTATGGATCCAGATGCCTGAAGTTTCTAAGCAGAACAGAAGATTCTCCAGAGAGAAAGGACCATGCTTGTTTCCTCAGAGTACTGGTTTGATAGGGATGGGCAAATTAGAAATTGGCTATTTAAAATGGGGAGAGATAAAGGCATGAAGTGGCTGGCTTACACACTTTCATGGGTGTGGTTATTAAACTGATGATGAAGGGGATGTTAATTTGTGAAGTATAAAAGGGATGGGATAATGGCTAGAAAAGCCAGAGGGTGGCCTGCAGTATAGTAAATTACCTGGTGTGGTTTTTCTAGTCATAACTCTTTGTAAACTCTGTGGTGGAATTTTCTGTGAGCATCTGAGGAGCTCCTTATTATAAAAGTTATCCACCTGGGGTTTTTCTGTTGGGTGCAACACAAAGCAATGTTCTGAGAGGTTCCCACTCTCTTTCGGGTGCTTAGAATTCTGGTGTTATGATTAGTTAGTTTGGCCACTATGCTGGGCTCAAAAGGAGGCTTCCTAGAGGCAGAACTCTCTCTGACTACTGGCTGAGGAAGGACGCACTCCTGAGAGACACGCGCTGCTGGGAAAGAGACTCAAGAGACACGCATTGCTTAGTGAGACACTGAGGAACACTTCCACCTGGAGACACAATACTGATTGCATTGAACTGGAAATTAAGAATGTCACCTGGCCATTTTGGCTTCCTCATGCCTCTGGATCAACAGACAAAGAAGGGAATTACTGTACTATCTAGTGTGATAGATCCTGATTACCAAGGGAAAATTGGATTGGCTTTACATAATGGAGGTAAAGAAGAATATGTATGGATACAGGAGATTCTTTAGGACGTCTCTTAGTACTACCATGCCCTGTGATTAAAGTCAATGGAAAATTACAGCAACCCAATTCTGATATGACTGCTAATGGCCCAGACCCTTCAGGAATGAAAGTTTGGGTCACCCCACCAGGCAAAGAACCACAACCAGCTGAGGTGCTTGCTGAGGGCAAGGGAAATACAGAATGGGTGGTGGAAGAAGGTAGTTCAGAATATCAGCTATGACCATGTGACCAGCTGCAGAAATGAGGATTGTTATTGTTATATTTCTTCATTGTATATGTGCATCAAATATTTTTGTTTCCTTCTGTTATGAACTGTGAAATGTAAATAAGGTTAATGCATTTTGGCTATACGTGTGTTAGCGTATCATGTTAGATGCAAATATGACTTTATAATTGTCCTTATTTAGAGATTACATATGGTTAAGAAGATGTGTACAACTGTCAAGTTGACAAGGGGTGGAGTGTGATAGTTGGAGCTGTGTGTCAACTTGGCTGAGCCACAATTCTGTGCGGTTTAAGCTGTTGTGATGTGGTTATTCCCATGATGGGATCAGATGATTATGTTTGAACAGGCAAGCTGTTGAAAGGGAGTTTCCTTAGGGGTGTGGCCTGCTTCCAGTATATCCAAGGACATCCTGGGAAAAGAGACATTCTTCTGTGGATTGGGATTCTGTTGTGCTGCCTACAACTGTCTGTGAGTGAACAGTCCACCATTTGGCCTGGAGATCTTGGATTCGTCATTCGTTGGAGTCAACAGCCGGTGTCCTGCCTGCCAGCCTTGAGCTCCACAGCCCCTGCGGTTGCACGAGACGCCTCCAGCTTGACGTGGAAAAGCCTCCAGCTTGATGTTTGATCCAGGAACTTTGGACTTCCCAGCTTCTATAAGTGTGTGAGCCATTTTCCTAAGAAATTTCTCTCTATATACATATATATAAGCATTACTGGTTTTGTTTCTCTAGAGAACCCAATCTAACACAACCATCAGGGATGCAATGATGTTATTCTAGTTTAAGAAATGTTCTGCATATATTAAAATTCTAAATTCCTTATAGACTCTAAGTGCATCAGAAGTTCAGAGAAGTGGGAAGTTAGTGTGGGCTGAAGCAGAAGAGATAAGCTTTACAAAGGAATAATTTGAACTGAGCTCAACTGTAATATTTAAGTACAAAAGATAGAGTATGGCATTGTAGGCATAGAAAAAATTTCCCCAAAATGTGAGACATATATGGTATCTGTGGATACAGAAATACTAATCTGAGGCACAAGGCTTATGGTAAGAAGAAATAAAGTGAGATATAATAATAATAATGTTTTTATTATCATCATAGCAGCTACCGCTTATTAGAATGGATTTGATATTATCTCATTTCATTCTTATAGCAGACCTGTGAGGTAGGAATGAACTCCATTTGGCCAGTGGGATAACTGAAGGTCTGCTGATGCTCAGTAACTTGCCCATTAATCATGCTAGCTAGGGTGAGAATCAAACCCATGTCTACAAGTCTGTACCAAGTTTGTTCCTTAAAACCCACAAGAGTGGTTCTAAAACATTAAGGTATATTTAGGGCGCTAGTTTAAAATACAAGGTTTCTGGAATCATTTTTAACAACAATCATTAAAATATAGGGTCTCTGGGATTGTTTTTAACAAGCACCTGCTCAAGATGCTGTGAGGTTTATGCTTTAGAAACAGAGTTTGGCAATACTGTTTCAAGGTTTTAAGTGTCAGAATGAGAATATGGTATGATAAAAAGAGCAATAGGAAGTTACTATAGGCCCTTGGGGAGCTCTGGTAGCATAGTGCCTAAGGCACTTGACTGCTAACCAGAAGGCTGGCGGTTCAAACCCACCAGCCACTCCTCAGAAGGAAGATGGGGCAATCTACTTCCACAGTGATACTGCCTCAGAAACCCAAGAAGGGGTCGCTATAAATCGGGTCCGACTCGAGGGCACATAACAACAACAACAACATAGGCCCTTGGGAAAATAATGATTATAATAATGGCCAACACTTGTGTAATGTACTATGCCAAACACATTTCTAAAACTTTACATGTATTAAATCAAAGTACATTACACATACTAATCATTTAATTGTCAAAAAACCCTATAAAGTACTATTACTCTTCTCTTTATAGAGATGAGGAAAATGAGGCAGAGAGGGGTCCAGAATGTTGCCCAAGGTCACATGCCTGATAAATGGCAGAGAAAGGATTTGAACCCAGGCAGTCCCACTCCAGAGTCCAGGAAGTGATATGAGAGCAGTGTTAGTGGGTGGGAGGGGCTAGAGTGTGGAGCATGGAGACAGGAGTGAACTTTGAGGGTTTTTCTTTTTTTTTTGATATGGGTTCTAAATTGAATAATGCAGCTATTAGAATCAAATCATTATTTCTCAATTGGGTTCTCCTATATTAAGCCATTTTTTAAAATCAGTAACTGAAAAAAAGTAAAAAATCTATTAGAGGTGTTTGTAACACTCAACTCTCCTCTCCCACTTAGGGGAAATCTCTATACTTGCTGTACTGCACTGTCAGGAAGACAGAGAAAGCAGTCAAAAAAGGAGAAGCCAACTCTGTACCAATAAGTCATTCATCTGGCTTGAGTGACACTCCTTTTACAGCTGCCATCCCCACATATGAACGACTCATATTTCTCTGACAAGATTTTCAAATTACTTAACAATACAGTCTAGTGCATAAGGAATTTTACCTTCATCTGTTGCCTCTTCTGTTTCAGTACTGACCAACAACTTGAAGCCACAGCCTAAATATCCAGAAGAGAAAAGCAAGATTTAAATTTATAAT